GCAGAGCCGCCTGTTAACCTGAGCTACAAAACACAGCTCTCCTGGTAATGGGGTGTATGTTATCAGTTACCTCTAAACATTCTCCTCTTACGTCACTCTGAGGTGATAATACAAGTTTTGTGCATATTTTAAACAGATTCAGACAAGTACAAATAGTTCCGTTTATCCTTATCGTCTAACTCTGCTGTCTGAAACATTAATTCCTACAACACAGAACGTAATTTCCTTTACTTTCACCAGGTGGTTTGCAGCATGGTTAGTACATAGTAAGTAATTCCTTTATGGAGGCTCAGACATCCATGACAAGAATAGGTAACATGTCTCAAGATAATTTGAAACACCCTACATACCTGTCCTAGAATCAGGCCGCCCTGTCTTGCTGTGCTACATGTATGTGCTGGGACTATCATTTTTAATGGCATAAAGTCAGCATTAATTAGCAAATTTCTTGTTCCCTTCATAGCCTCACAGTCTTATGACAAAGAAGTCTGATCACCAAAGCTATATGCACCTGCTGTTTTTCAGCCCCAAATGGGAATGCATGTCATGAGATTGCTGCTCGGAGAGGAGCATTAGAAACCCCACTAATGTACTTAAGGACAGAGGAAGCACAAAACCACACACTTCAGTTGGGCAGATAAGAATTTCTATTTTTAAGGGAAGATGAAAGCCTGCTTAGAGGCTTTTAATAGAAAATGTTAGGTTTTATAGGAATTACTATCAACACAGCTGAATGTTTTACTCAAAGTTTTTTGTTTGTCTGTAGGAAAAAGCGTTAAGAAAATAAATTTTGCAACATCTTTTTTCTAACAAAAACATCAGCTGTTCTAAGGTATTGACTAAGCTGGGTAAGGCAGCACTACTGAATGATGACAGAGTGAGTTAAACCAAATTCACACCAACATTTCTTAAAGTGAATGACAGTTTTTCTATTGCCGGTGTGGTGGTGTAGGACCACCTTCAGCAAACACTCAAATTATTGTTAGAATTAGTTGCAGGCATGAGGCTTTCCCTAAACCGCAACTGCTGCCTGGCATGCCTTGATTTTGCAGTGAAGGAGTGGACACTGTTGTTGTGAGGGAACAGGCAACCACACAGAGAACGAGCACTGCTGGATTACATCTGCTTTCGTTTATTCCCTGTACCAGGGTTACAGGCACACAGCACGTGTCAATATTAGAACAGTGATGCACAGGTACTTTCACCCTCGAGTTTGGGGCAGGCACATGATGTTCAGGAGCATCCCTTGCCCATGCCAAAAGGACTCCCCAGCACCCTCCCCGCAGTGCAGCATCAAGTGCCAGCAGGCAGCACAACCCCAGGGCTCCACAGCATGGAGAGCTCAGCAGCAGTCCCTCCTCAGCAGTCGTGAATTAATTAATTGTTGTTAATTCTACACAGGCGTGACACACGATACACTCACAGCAGCAGTGAGTTCACGCAGCCTTTATCCTACTCTGATAAAATTTAAACTCTGGGGGATTGCTCAGTCTTTGAAATGATAAATTAAATTGTGCATTTATGGCATGTCCTGGAGAATTCACATCAGTCATCACTAGATTACAAGTTTCTGAATAGGAAGCGTTATAAAAAATATCTAATGAATTTCATGGGGAGTTTGGCAGCAAACCTTCAAAAGTACATGAGTAAAACAATCCATTTTTGCCAAAGAAAACAACTGTAAATTTAATGGTTCCACATAAAAAATAAAAGGGCATAAAACCCTTGGATAGATATAACTATTGGAGACATAGTTAAAACTATTTCAGCTGATAACTAACAGGTGTTGGATTTTAATTATATGGAGCCATTTCTCTAGATCACAACATAATATAAGTAGATAAAGCAATGAAATCCGTAGTAAGATCTCATCTGATCACGATTAAAATAAAATATCCTATCTTTAGCATTCTGACTGCAATCAGAATTTCTCAGCCTCATGAAACTATCATGACTTTATTGGACAAGGCACAAAGCCTTTTTTTGCCACAAAAGAAAGAATATAATGAAAATATTGGCACTGCACATACCCACTTAAATTCCTCACTTTCTGCAGGACAGCAGGTGAACAGAATTTTCTAGGGTTGAAATACAGAAAATAAGGCCCTGATCCAAAAATACGTGTATGTAAATGAGTTAATCTACATGACTAGTCTCCACTGAAATGGATGTAGCCAACACTTGTGAATAAAGTAAAATAATGAAGCCTGAACTAGTGGCCTAATAATGTATGATGTTATTTATGTGGTCAGAATATGACATTGACTAAAACTGAAAGAAAAAAACAACTCAATACCCAATGCTTTGCCTCAAGAATGCAAAAGTTCCTGACTTTTACAAGATTAAATTTGCAACCTGGACATGTAACCATATCTACATAGTTTCTCTCCACCTTTTCCTTTCTATATCCTTAACGTTTCTGTAAGCCAATGATTTCCTAACACATCGCGGTAACAAAAGTATCTCAGTTTAACATCTGAGCTTGCTGCCACAACGGAAACACTACCTGTCAATCTTCCTGCTTCCTCTCCAACAATGGTTCATCTCACCACACACAGAGCAGCTTAATACGCACCTAAGCTTTTGTGAGCGAAGTCAAAGCATTTTTCCCTTCATAGAAACAGCTAATAAAAATAGGTTTAGTATAGCAGCTGAATGGTGCCATACCACAGCAGATGCTGATGGCCACAGAGTGTACTTGTGCCTACTACCATTTCTCTGAGGAGGACTGATCATCTTAGCCCACTATTTCTCTCTGAGCAGGTATCTGGAAGGAAACACCTCAGACTGTACATGACCAGCTAACACCCACCTATTTGAGATTCCTGAATTACTTCCTTGATGCAGGAGTACTAAGGGCAAACAATCCCACAAGAGTAGCTGGCAGGTGTTTAAGAGCAGCATTCACACCTGGACTAAAAGTAAACCAAATGTAGAAACAATGCTGTAAAATATCAAGCAAAATGTAAAGATTCTAAGACTACAACATGTTGCAAACCCAGGGTGTCCAGCCCGCGATGAAGGACATCATCAGCACCAATTCTCTTCTCTGTCATTAAAGATCTTAACAGAGGCACTGTTTCACAAAAAAATTAAAACCTAGCTTCCTTTTTTTCCCCTGGGTAAGTACATGAAAATTCCACATAGAGCTCTATTTCACTGCTGTTATTTCTAACTTCAAATATTATTTGAAAGAGATGTTACTTTGGCTCCCAGCTCTGGCAGAAATCAGCATTGTTCAGCTAACAAGGGCCTGGAGTTTTTACAAGACCATGGGGGTTTTCAAAATATTCTTCCACTTTTGTAACAGTCAAATTAATAGATCATGTGCCAGATCAAAAGTGGCATTTTATGGATTACTTTAAACGGGTATTTATGCCGTAACTTTAAGACTGCTTTAAGATATACAAGCAGTTAATTAAGTAGAAACCCATAGTCTATGTAATCACTGTATTTTCATTGTTCCGTAATGGACTTCCTAAGAAGGACTTGGCATTTTTTTCCCAAAAGCAAAAGACCCGCTAAAGTACTCTGTTTTTAATAACTGAAACTCCTTACCCCTGAGCTGTCACAATTTGCTAGCATACATTTCTGCTCAGTTTGTATTTCCATAGGCTTCAGCATGCCAAAAGGCTGCCGCTATTACTAATGGCAATGCCACAACTGCAGGGACATACACAGGCAGGAAGGGAAAAAACAATACACATCACATGCAAAATAATCACAGCAGGAGCAGAAATTCATCCAACTGAACCACATGTATTCTCTAAAAAATCCACCAGCAAACCACTTTCATGCATGACAGATTTTAAGTTTTTATTCAGATCACTGCAAGTGGAGATACACTGAGGACATTTTTTAACACCTAAACACGCACGTATGATCTGCCTGATCTCCTTTGCTCCTTTCAGCTGCAGCAGCTTCACTTAGTGCTATGCACCACTTTTTCCTCCCAACCCAGCCCAGCAAAACTGGTAATAAACAAGAAGTATCAGAACATCCCTTCTGCAATGGCTTCGCAGCTCAGAAGGGGCAGCTCCAGCCATAGAAAACACCTCATTCAGATCCAAAACTCTGTATTGCCCTATTTCCCCATCGGACATGTCAGGCTGCAGCTCACACAAATGTTATAAGTACTTCATCATATTTCATGATCAGATAGGCAGCAAAATCAAGAAGGTCAAGTCCTTTTTTTTTTTTTGGTCATGTTGCTGCACTGTCCCACACAGGAAGCAAACGGTGTTTTCTTTAACTAAAACATCCCGCCATTGAATTTAAAAGCAAAATCTTTGGTGTTTTCAGGTGGACTTTGCTAATATTCCTACACCTCAATAAAACCATAAATCTGACATGCTTTCACTCCATACCCTATATGCTTCATACCAAAGCCAGTAAAACAAATCCTTTGCCTTTGTGTGTAATCTCTGAGTATACCGCACGTCGCTTCCCAAATAGCTTTGCTAGCTCATATGACTCTAAAAAGACCCACGCTGTTTTGAACACCAAGTCCATCACTAATGCTGAAGTCCAATCACAGATGTATTTGAAAAGCCAAACTCAACACAGCAGCAAGCGAAATGGAGACACACATTTCACTTGCCAACAGCTCAAAGTCAACAGAAAAACACAGTAAGTACAGCAGTGCACCACACTACAGTGTATGCCAAATAGACCACAGAGAAATGATCATACATGGTCTTATTCTTTAAGTCATGCACAGAAAGGCCATTAAACAAGGGCAGAAGGTTTATCACTAAGCAAGGATGTGATTTCCTTTATTGCCCACTGTAATTTTATAAAGATATTTGGAGGTCAGAACAGGGATTGACTGCAGGGCATCAGAGGACGGTGTCTGACTTTCGGAAATGGCCCCGAGGCAACAATATGCTAACCTGGCTGCACTCTTAAACGTTAATTTGACGGGACAGCTTGGAGGGTGGATTAGCCATTGGCAGACAGGCTCTACCAGGTGAAAAAGAACCCACCTCTCTCGGAGGGTGCTAAACCTCTATGTCCTCCACTTTGTGAACGTGAAGGCCAATATGCCCAGAACCAGGTAGAGCATGGTGGTGATACTGAGAAGGGTTGAGCACACCCTGCTTTTCTGTCTGAAAAGAAATTAATTGAAAGGATACACCCCACCTTGATTCACTGAACAGAGGCTGTACCTGAAGAAATCAGGGGAGCAGCAGTATTGCCTTCCTGTAGCACTTACCCAGTGAAACAGCACCTCTGGTAAAGATGCTTGTCAGCTTCCTCTACCATGAGGACTTCTCTGAATGTCATCCTTAATTTAAAAACCCAAACCCAGCCTTCGCAATTGAGAACTGATCATAGACTACTCCCAGCTCTGAAAACAGTCTTTGGTGTGATCAGCAATAGGAAGAAATTTACTTTTGCAGGAGGTTGTACCTGCTGGTGAATACGTTTGATAAAAGCAGTAGGAGTTCATCTGAACTTTTACTATGTGGCTTGCTGGACAAATTTCCAAAGATAATGCCAGTACTCTTTGCTGATGTCCCACTTCTTAACTTGCTTCTCACACATTAAAAAAAAAAAAAATTTAATAGGCAAAATTCAGAAGCAATGAACATTTGCCAAGGGAAGAGTCTTCCAAAATCTCTGAAATAAAGATCTCTACCCTCCTCCTGACTTTTTTTTTTTTAAAAGAAATGTACATAAAATCTACTTGGTTTTGTGACACTTACTGACAAAATGAACTCTCTGAAAATATAAAAGCACAACTAAAATAATTCTAGGTGAAGTAATACAACCTTATCTACAGAGCAGTTACAGACAGCTCTGTTACATTACACCTTTTATTACAAATTTATTGTCTTTGATAAGTATACTTACGCATATGAGCTAATATCAAGAAAGTGAACAGTCACTATTTTGTGACATACATGTTTGAGAATGAAAATATCTCAGTCCATGGAGTGAATATTGTCCTCAAGAAATTCATAATTTTATTACAATTCATACAGTATGAGGTTTGCACTGTGTCATAAATGTAACTTAAACTAGAAAAAATGTACTTGACTCAAAGTTAATATTTTTGTGGTATCCCAACAATTTTCTTCTAGGTATTGATTTGTAATCTGATTTGTTATACCTAGCCCAAATTTGCTGAGTTGGGTTTTGTGGTTTTTGGTTTTTTAAAGCCACTTTAGGAATAAATCCTGAACACTTTACTACTCAATATACTCCTAAATAATGATACATTCTTTTTTCATCATTGCTATGATACCCACCTGTACCAGAGTAAGAAAACATTTGACTGAATTTTATAGCATATTATTATGCCAGAACATGCCACTGAAGAAGTGTCTTCCTAGCTGCAGGCAACTATATTGGTTAGTATCATGAAGCATTAACAAATTTCAAATAATTGTTCCTGTATAGCAAAAGCATTATCATATTTTCACTTCCATTACTCTCTATGTTACATTGCAACTTTTCACTTTTTTTTTCTTTATATGACTATATTTATAGGACGCACCCTTTATGGATCTAGCTGTAAAATCTACTCCTTTTCTTGCAACACTTAGCCACCAACACGTACAAAAAGTTCAAACTATTTTTCCCAACATACAGAATTACCTCTTTTACACTGCTTGGTCACCTTTTGTTAGGCTCCCTGGTTAAAACTAATGAAGCGTAGAAGGAATGACTTTTTTTGCAGACAAATTCTGTAGACACCCATTAACCAGGCTGCCCAGCTTTCTCCCACAGCACTAACAATGGTGTGAATCCACAGGCACCTTAGGGAATTATTCTGGGTTTTCTAGATACCTTTTCTAAAAATAAGTATATTATTGAATTTCTAAATAGTATCCAGTCACTGACGGGAGCCATACTCAGCCTGATTTATTAATGCATACAGTCCTAAACTGGCAGACATCCTCTTTACTCATTTGGGTGTGGACCACACTGGCCCTCCCACTGAAGACCTATCTGTTCGATAATCCAGGATGTCAAAGTGTTAAAAATACACCAGAGCCCAGACCACCAGGATGTCCTTCTCTTTGAGTGGACTCCAGTAGTTGACCCTCTTAGTAACAGTGTCTCGCAGAGCTAGAAAACCCTGAATCGGCTTTCTTGCTTTACCACAGAACTAAGGAGAGAGGCTGCAAGACAAAGAGGGAAACACATGTCAACAGTAAAAAAGGATCAGTTTTAACACTGCCCATATCCTTCACAAGTTGCTACGCAGCACACACCTCTGTAGTGCCTGCATTTGTAAAATTTCAGCTACATTGCAGTTGCTCCTCTCAATTCTTTTGTCTTTGAAGAAAAATGGAGAACCGCTGCTGCCAGTAAAAGTGCGTGCGCCACTACACGGCACCTATTTGAATGAATAGGAAATCTGAAAGCAAAATCTATGATAATTAGCCAGCCATACTGAGGGTAGGTAGTGAGTCTTAAGCGTACTGACGTAAATTAAAAGAAAAGATACAGCTTCTTTTGAATACACTAAAAAGTAATTCACACCAAGTCTGACAAGTGTGAATATTTTCAGGTTTAAAGATAAATTCTAAGTTCTAAGCCAGAACAAGAATGCCACCCCAACCACAATATCACCAGTTCCATGCTGTAAAGTGGAGCCTGGCCTATCACATACCTTCTAAATTTTACAGCCTTTGCATGCCCTAAGGGACCAGTCATTAAAAGGTCACCTCAGAAATAAATTACTTTCTCCCTCGTGGCAAGTTTCTATGAAGTAAAAACCTAACGTTGACACCTCCTCACAGCAGGGTATTTATTGTCTGTTCCAGAGAGGGCAAGCAGGGCTATGAATCTGTTGGCAATAACAGAGGCACACAACAGAAAACAGAGAAATGGGAGAATTTAACAGGCATGGCTGGGAAGACTTCCTCTCTACCAGGCACACTACCTCTTGCCATAAGCACCAGTACTGGTACCAAGCAAGCCTTCTCTTCCTACCCCTTTTTTCCTTCTCTACTTCTCTCTGTAAAAGATTTTCTGAACCCCAAAGTCTGGTAGGAGAATGATTAAAATCCTAATCATCAAGAGCAAATGATGCCTGAAAAAGATGAACAGGCATGGTAGACAAATATTTTCAGGAAAGCAAGTTTCCATAACATGTATTCTTGGGTAAGCCTGCTATTTTGGATAGATTCTCCTCATCAAAGCAAGGAATGTAGGAACTCCTCCTCCTCCATGAAACTGGTATCATTCACAGAACTGCCCTTTTTAGCAGACAAACAACAAATAACACTGTGATTTACTGTAATCTTTTCCTGAACGTACTGAATTCTGTAATACCTGAACATAAAGACTTAGGGTGTGAAATACAAGCATTTAAATCAATTTCCTTTTCTCTCACAAGAAGCATGAAATTCAAAAGAACAACATAAAAAGAACAATATTATTTATAGCCATCTCCCATATGCTCATTTGTCATAATGATGACAGATTTATAAATTGAGTAGACTTGAATAAGCAATATAATTCAACTAAAACATGCATAAGTTGTAACAGCCGGCAGTCAACACCCTTCGGTTTGAACAATCTGCCATTAGACAGGAGAAAACAATGGAAAAATACAAATACGGTGCACAATCCCACAGACTGGGAATACTCCACACATATGAAGCAAAACCAAACACCACTTACTTCAGATTTGGAGGACATGTTTTCCTCCATGTCAGAATCATTGGGATCTATGATATCATCAAATGGTGGCAAAGTTGGCGTCTTCTTTTCCAGTGCGTCATTTTCAATTTTGACTCTCCCCACACTGAGTTGAGATCTTTCCTTTGTCTGGTTTTTGTCAGCTGAACAAGTAAGAATCAGTGGTGGGGCACTAGAAAAACTTTTAAATAATGAATCCGAGCCACTTTTTTTTCTTTTTTTTGCAGAATGTTCGTCAGAGTCCAGAACAGAGGGCCTTTTTGTGGGGGTCTTCTTTTCTTGCTGCTGCCCACCTGTTATGGTAAGGATGGGGCTGTTTTCAGATTTTGGCTCCTTGAATATGGGCTTGGGTTCCTTGAAGGCCATCTTAGGAACTATTTTTTCATCTTTCAGTGGTTTGTTTTCTTTGGGTTTCTTAGAGGGTTCTTTGGAAGATTTGTTGTGTTCCCTGGAAGGTTCTTTGAAGGCACTTTTATGTTCTTTTGAGTCTTTAGAAGTTTTTTCCTTGTGCTCCTTTGTTAACTTGTGGGTCTTTGAAAAACTGTTACTACTGCTGCTGCTATTTGTATTCAGAATCCTAGTTGGTTCCTGCAAAAAGGAGATGCAAATTTTTACTTGCAAAATACAAAGAGAAAAGAGGAGAAGAGAGATAGGAGAGAGAGGAAAAAAGAGAGGAAAATGAGAGAAAAAAAGAGAGGAAAAGAACCCTTAAAGCCCCAAAAGACAGACACAATATAGACATGGGATTCATATTAAAAACTTGGAACTGTAGGTTGAAAACCATAAACTGCAAATACCTATATAAGAACAGATACAAACTCTATCAATTTGGTCAACTTACGTTTTTAACAAAGTGGTTACTACTTCTTGCCAATATCTGCAAGACAAATTAGTTTTGATCTTAAGAATTAGATATGTTTTTAAAGAAACATCGTAAGATTGACATAAAGACAGTTTAGGATATGTAAGCCATGACCATTAGCTATCAGGAAAAAAAATTAAAAACCAAAACACATCATAAAGAAAGATCTGGATATGAACCGTATACTGTCAACAGGGTTATTTCAGAATCAGAGCAAAACATGTGCTCCTGATGACATATCAGGCATAGTGTGACTTCTCCACTGTGGAACTCTCCAGCTTTTGCCAGACCCTTTTGCCTCATACACAATAACAATTCTGGGTCCAGCCTGGCTATGGAAGACTTGATTTCACACAAGATCTCAGCAGTCAATGTCTTTTTATGGAAAGCTAGCTTTACTAAAAAAGCTTTCTTCTTTGTACATATTACTGCTGTCTCTGTTGAGTATTTTGTTGCATTTTTTTTAAATTCAACAGTTGTGAGAAGGGTTTCTGAAAGGGTGATGACTCAGGCAAAAGGAGAAAGAGTAGATCAGTATCATTCCTCACTCATATATGTTTAGTTAGGGGTGTCCCAATACACAGTTCTAAAATCACAGTTTTAATGAAATTCTTAGGTTGAAAGAGAAGATGATGAACAATACTTACAATAAAGTGTTCTTCCAGCATAGTTTCTATGCAAGGAAAGCTTATTGGAAAAGGGGAACTACTAAAAATGGTGCTAGTCATTATAAAAATTACAACTGCACTTCTGGGTTTCACTTTCAATAATTTGGTTGGTTATCAATCCAAGTCCTTTGCAAGCTGCAGACCAAAGTGGTGCCCGAAATTCTCTTGTGTATAAGATTAGATATGCTTTCATCTGTATGAAATTCACGTACAAATCCCTAGGTCTATTTTCTCTTCCAGCAACCCACACTTAGCATTCTACAGCGCTAAGAATGTGCTTTTCTTTTTTTGACTCTTCTACTGGTTTTGGCTGGGACAGAGTCAATTCCCTTCATATTAGCTTGTATGGGGCTATGTTTTGGATTTGTGCTGGAAATACAGTGATGTTTTAGTTATTGCTAAGCAGTGCTTTTACAGACCCAAGGCCTTTTCTGCCTTTTACTCCACCCCACCAGTGAGTAGGCTGGGGGTGCACAAAAAGCTGGGAGGGGACACAGCTGGGACAGCTGACCCCAACGGACCAAAGGGATATTCCATACCGTATGACGTCATGCTCAGCATATAGAGCTGGGGGAAGGAGGAGAGGACATTTGGATTTAGGGCATTTGTCTTCGCAAGTAACCATTACATGTGATGGAGCCCTGCTTTCCTGGAGATGGCTGAACACCTGCCTGCCCATGGGATGTGGGGAATGAATTCCTTGTCTTGCTTTGCTTTGCTTGTGTGTGCGGCTTTTGCTTTATCTATTAAACTGTCTTTATTTCAACCCATGAGTTTTCTCACTTTCACCCTTCTGATTCTCTCCTCCATTCCATTGAGGGGGGTGGTGAGTGAGTGGCTGCGTGGGACCCAGCTGCCCTCTGGGGTTAAAGCACAACAACCTTTTAGTATAGATGTAGATGTGGTTTGTCTGGCTGTCTAACATTGTCACAGGTTTACAGAACTGCAGAGGGGAAAACATATTTAGCTTTTCTTCCCCCTTACTTAACCACCATTTTACCACAACGCAGAAGGCAGAGCAGCAGTGTGCTGGAAACTGAAGGATCAAAGCACGATGTGGCCAGACTCAACCTCTGCAGAGGCTGACTATTTTTAAAAATAAAGTCAGTAGAACTCCTCTGAAAAAAACACGCCCAATACAACAGAATTAGCCTGTTTAATGACAGTTGTGCCAACAAGAGGAGAAATTAAGACTGACAATACATCCACTTCTGTAATCCTTGTTGGCAGATAACTGTTTATGACTTGTCCAATCAGGATGTGATAGACCAGTATTTAATGCTGTAGGACCCAAATGGTTTACACATATGTGCAAACAGAGCAGGCTCTCCCTTCTCCTCTGCAGCAATAGGTGGAAATAATTAAACGTAATTACTTTGGGCTGGTTTTTCCCTTCTCATTTTCTTAACTAATTAGTGAAACACTGAATTTTCACACAGCACTGCACAAATTATTCAATTGTGCCTGTTGTTCAGATGTTTCTTGCATCAGTACTGCAAATGCATTTTTGAGTCAGATATGGAAATCTAACTATATACCCATATAATATATATGCATCAGCATTAACAATGGGCAACAGTATCAACAATGAACAATCTTATGATGACATTTGAATAGCTTAAAGTAAGGCACTTCCTCATTTCCCACGCCAGTAATTATGAACATAAGCCAGTCATTACCAAACAAAAAAAAAAAGTACTAATCATTCCTTGAGGTGTTTTACTTTAGTCAAAACTCCTTTTTTGGTGTGGGTTTTTTTTTTATTTTTAAAGTGTCATATTTTGTTTGATGCAAGACCAGCCCCAAAGGTTGGCTTCTGAAATATTAATGCTTTTATCTTCACATCTTGTTCTATCACACCAGAGCTGTAAGTGTTGTCCTGGGGAGGAATAAAAAACGTGCCATTAATAAACTGGATGGAGACCTTATGTTTCTTTTAAATTGCTGCAAAAGAAGAGACTCATTTTAGTGATTTTTCAACAGATGAGAACTGTGAAATAGGTCCACGGTATTAAAATCCATAGGAACCTGAGATCTTTCTTGCCTTTTCAATTTTAAAACCAGATTTCTTTCCTCTTTCTACACAACATGGAAGCTGATGCTTTGATAGAAATCGCAGTACAAGTATATGATGTACTTATGATATAGCCATATATAAATATATATACATAGGCCTGCCACGGTCACTGAGAGCTACTCTTTCATTAAGACAGCCAACCCATTGCTTTTATATCATTCTCTAAGTAAAAAAAATTCTTTTCTTATTTCCTAAGTTTCTGCAATGACCCTGCAATGACTAAGACGAAACAGCAAGAAGAACATAAAATTTGTAAGACAGAAAAAAATGCAAATATATTCACTGGTAAAATTATATCAAACCTAATGCTGAACGTGGAAAGCTGGAGGGGATGAAATGTGGCTAAATATTCACTTCATGTACAGCATAGATCTTCCTGAAAATCAGAATGTACTTTCAATCCATTTTCTCATTTATCAAAATCTAACAGGGTGTTTAAATGTTTCTTTTCCTTCTCATCTTAAGACGTGTTTCAAGGAATAAGAATGAATGATGTTTTTCTGCTAAGAGGGACAAATAAAACAGTCTTTTCTCAAGTTCATATATAAAATGGAAATCATGGGCTTTTGACAGTTAAGATATTTACACACCGTAGCTTACATTTGTGTATTCATCAAATATTGAAGCAAGCCAAGTGAATGTTAGACTTTGAAACATTGCATAACAAACATCAAAAGAAAAAAACAGGGGATTACATGCATGTTAAAATACCTGCAATGCTTTCATTTCTTAAGCCAAATAACACCATGTACATATAGTACTTCAAGATATATAATCCCTTTCATAGAGCAGTACTAACGGATCTTTTATCATGCTTTTAAAAATATTTATTTTTAAAATCTAAGGTTTTACCAACAGAGAAAAACTGTGCTACCGTGACTGCTGCACCCAACTCCTACTCAGACTTTGGGTAATGCAGCTCATGCTAAGGCCTGATGTATGCTGGGAGCAGTGAGAGCATCACATAGGCAGGACAGGTGGCCAGAAAGAGCTAAAGGGCCATTATGCAGCCATGGTCACCTGAAAATTGCTGTCTCCTGCAGCCATCATCTTTGTCTGATAGTTTCATCAGTGTCTGCTAATTTACAGAATTATATAAACCAAACCTCTAAGCTGGAAGTATAAAACATGAGCTTATGAAAAAAAAAAAAGCTTTTGAAATGGATACATCATCATCAGGTCTGCTGAGGCAGTCCTGTTTCCCAGTGTGAGACAGGCAATGCCTGCATCATGACAGCGGAGGAAGGATGAGCACTCTCACCGTTGGCCTGGTAATTTTTTTTTTTTTCCTCCTAAGTGCATGGATTAAGAGTTACAGGTTATAAATTATGAAACTGTATAACCTGAGTGGTGAATAAGTGAATTAACGTGATAGACTAGTCTGGGCAAAGGGGACTGAGCCCTGTTTGTCGTGTTTGTTTGTTCTATTTCTCAATAAGCTTATTTAATAAAGTTTAAATTACAGAGTATGTTGTCCTGTAAATTTGAGAGATCCAAATGGACAATGACAGCTGCTCAACAGGTAACACACTTAACATGCTTGTAGTTACAGAAATGTTTTAATCTGCAAGGCAAAAAATGGTGGTGAACTCTCTGTATATCTTGTGTGGTTGGATTTTGACTTCACAGCACAAAATTTAATTCCCAATTTGGTTGAACATGACTTTGAATAAGCAGTATCCTCTGGAAATCATTTCAAGCTTCTCCAGTTCCTGACAGACTTTATGAACCCAATTAGCAAATGAAGCAATTGCAGGGAGAGTGAGGTGGTTCATTACATTTTATTAAGTCATTAAACTGAACACATTACCATGGCCATGCCAGTCTACTGTACACTGGGTTTGGTCTAGAAGTTTAGGATTAGCAATCAAAAAAGCATGCATTATTTTAATTTGTAATTGTGTTGGGTTTGCGCAAACCCAACACAGCAATAAAAAAGCATTTCTTCAAATGTTATGCCTATTGAAATAATGTGTCCAGCTTAAGCCAATGGACTGGAATTAGTCTCAAATAAGCCTCCATCTCTTAAGAGGAAAAGAGTAGGAAGATATCTAAAAGTCATTACGTGCTGAAGGTAGTTCACATTTCTGTTGAATACAAATGTGTTTATTATTGAATAAGAACACTAACTGATTTCAGGAAAAAAAACACACCTTGCAACATTTTGAAAGCCTCCACAGCCTGTGGTATTCTTCCACTTGCTACCTGCATGCTGGAGTTGAATTTACCTGCTGCTAGTTCTTCTTACAGATTATTACTGTATCACACATTTACAAAGCTTTCCACACTTCAGCTTGTCCAGCCCACCAAACTATTATGACCAATGACATCAGGAGAATTAGAAGCAGAAGGAAAATTACAAGGCGTACCAGTTTGACAGAGAAAGGCAAAAGAGGGAGCAAAAAACATCTTTTTTTTTTTTTTTCTTTTCTTTTTCTGGTCACACACGGGAATAAGAGCTTTTGTTTTTTTGGTTTATAAGGTAAACCTCATTTCACTGCAGCTGACACTACAGCTCATTCCAAAAGACATAATCATCCCAACAAAACTAATAAAGCTGTTTTGCTGTATTCTGTGCATGTAGCATTTATATGATACAAACAGGCACAGTAACACAACTGATATAAAAGCAACACAAGTATCTGTAGCTAGCCTGCAGCTATTTTTATATTCTGAAAAAATGCAGAAAGTAAGGTTTCATGCATTTCTGCCTGTCTTCTGTATAACCAAGACTAAAGCTTTGTTTTAGAATTACAATGCTGGGGCTCACTAATACTGTCTCCATTAAACTAAACAAAAAATCATGGAACTTCAGAAATAAAACATCCATATTTTTTAATACAGATTTCAGAAGAGGACGTGACAGAAAGCAAACTGACAGTTCTCTCTTATTTCATACTGCATTATATTTATTTTATAAGTGAATGCTAAACCAACAATACCACTTCATTGCACTGGTTTTACTGTCTTGACAACTGCAGTTCTCCTCTAACCAGAAAGTCTATGTCGTGCTTTGTAACGGCAAATGGGTAAGCAAATGTTCTTAGGTTCTGGTTTTCCATACTTAAGAATTTAAAACTGACCTCAAAGTTTACTTCAGTATTTACAGTCACAAAATAAACCAAAACCAAGGCAAAGACATAAAAGGGCTACTGCTGCAGCAGAAAAATCCCCAAATCACCCAGTATAGACACCTGGTGTGTATGTACTCACAGTACATACACAGGTACAGACAACTTACACCCAAGAAGTACCAAGACCTGTCTACAGCTCCTAATTTATAGGCATATCTAAATGAAATTTGGACATTGAAGTTTTTCTATCATTGGGGTTATTCCAAATTACAAAACAAAAATCTATTTCCACATCGGCTGGAACTCTCCTGCCTCCCGACCAAAACAAAAACCCTAAAGACAAAAATCCAAGGGTTCTCAGCTCCCAGGATCTATAATAAAAAACTCAAACTTTTTTGTTGTACTAAACCCAAGGTTACTTCACATTTCCATTTCTCAAAAATAGCTGATGATCCTCAGTAAGGCAAATATTTACAACTCTCTCTTTATAAGATACAGGAACAGCTGCTCATTAGTGTGTGTTTTAAGTTGGACAGGAGGAGACAAAGATTGCTGGGGGAGAGGAAAAACAGAATATTCAAACCAACTGGCAAGAAACAGCGTATTGATGTAACATCTCTTCCCACTACTAAAAACTCCAGTGAACAGCACATAAGGTTGAAAAACAAATTATTTCAAATAGACACCATTGCTGCTGAACATCCCTATTTTGAAACCAAATAGTCAAAAAACATTCTTGGGTAACAATTTGAATACAATCCTGAGATGTGATGCACATCTAACCTCCTATCAACTCCTGTAACTTCCTGCTGTGGGTCAAACTCATTGCAGGTGGTTGGGTTGCTTTAGCAAAACTGAAAGATTTCAAACATTCATTTATAAGGACGAGTGCAGCAAACATGCAATATTCCATTCACCCTGCTTCACCCCAACCACACTCCACCTTGTCAGGTTTCTACACCAGACTGAAGTTCACTGTCCGAATATGGTTCAGAAAATGACATCCCAAGTTAGCATTGGCTTGTATTTACACTGAAGATTCAAGACTTACCATAGTGTGCAGTAAATAGATGGAACATTTGTGTAGGACTTGGTGTCATGTCTGTACCTCCCTGAAATCCTTCTGCCCATGTTTGGGTTGCCTATTTAGGCCAAGCCTCAGTATGCCTGCTTTGGCATGCTATGCAAGACTCAGGTGAATCAATGTTACAGCTGATTCCAAAGAAGTGATTGGAACCGCAACTCTAGAGAGCTACCCAGCCTCACAAGAACCCTATTACGCATTGTAAAGTGTCGAAGTAACTCATCTTCAGTATCTGAGTAGATGAAGATGCGTCCTAGCCTAAGCAATCAGATAGTTATCTTCAGCACCTTGCATCAGTTTGGTGTAGCCAGGTGCCTTCTTTTTAGGCATTATGCAGTCATTTTAGCATGCCAAAGTGCCTTCAGTCTAATCCTCAGATTTAATCTACCTCAGCTCCTCACTAAGAAAATAAAAATAATCATACATCCATATACCCTTTAAATGTCACAGGAAGAGCTGCATCAGAGATTGTGAGATCTCAGGTACAATGCAAACCAGACAGGAACATGACAAAGAATTTCCCCCCCTCCCCCTATATAACCATATTGTTGTGATACATTTTTATCAATGGACATACTCAGGCATACCTATAGTTCACTACCTGACAGTTCTTACAAGACACAAGATTTAGCACAGCTACAGAACATGAAAGTTATTGATAAAAATGGGTATTGCCCCCTGCAGTGTGTGCACTACAAGATTAAGTAACATATTTCAAACTGACAAGACGCTAAGAAAGAAAATAAAAACCCAAACAATTTAACAGAATGGAGAAAATACATACATGTTAATTCATTTACAAAGCAAGTCATTGTGTTACATTTCTTATTTGAATAAATGACAAGATACTCTTTATTATCCCACATCATTAATTCACTTTGTCAAACTGAAGAAATTATGTGCTGTTTCAGAAAGATCCATTTGTATTACTTAAAAGGTTCACTGGACTATCTATACCTTTTTACCATGTTCTAGATTGGGGATTCAATTTGATGTCCTACAGACTGATGACACATTGCTGTCTTTGAAACACCTAGTAAAGAATTAATCCCTGAAATTTAAACAAAATTAAAAATCCTAAAGAACACAACTTCAAATTTCACTCTACCCAATTATCTTAATAAGTATTCAAAAATACTTAATAAATGAAACAATTATAGTATTTTCTCATATTCTTTACATTTCTGTAGATCACACTTCCATCACCAGAATCCCCTAATACTACAACAGACCATTAAGAATTATTTCTGGAAAAGGAGGAAAACAATTGTGCATGTACAAAAACCAGAGAAGCAGTACCTTCATTGGCACCTGGTCTCACAACCATCCTTGTTCTGCATTATTTTCAAGTGGGGAACAGTAAAAGCACAACAAAGAAATGTCAAGACCTATTATCACTGGATTATGTCATGAGGTTGCAAAAATACCTAGAAATATTTTTTTCTCGAGTTGATTCACAGGGAAAGCGCCACTGGCTCAAACATCTTCTAGCAAAATAAGTCTCACCTTTGGCCCATGAGATGGTTTCTTCTTCACTTCAGAAAAAGACAGGGCATTACTGGGAAGGCTGGGGAGATGAAGGCTCTGTCCTGAAGAGAACGATGTGCCATCTGACATTACCATCATCTGTTTTAAGAGGGAAAGCATGTCAGTCAAACATTACCAACAAAGACAGAGAGTCTCACCTGGCTAAGGAACTAGCATATCACACTGATAGAATAAAACTTCTCCAACAAACAGTATCCATGTTTCTTCTCAACAGGGGATGGGTTAAAGAAACCACACTGCCATCCTCTATTTAACGAGCAAATCACATTTTTCAGCTTCCATGCAAATACAACGCAAGTCCCTCAGAAAATGGCATAACTTGTTCTATTATGGCTGCTCACATGCCATGGCATCCGCATCCTTAGCACTCTTTTTGTTGTCCTAAGCAATGTCTAGTACATTTGAAAGTTCATCCCACCTGCAGTAAAAAGCTCTGCAGGCTGCTGAGATCCCATAAATATGTATGTGCAGCAGTCTTCACTTTCAACTAGAGCAATGCGAAGGAAGACTGTAATGGGTATAGGTGGCAAGGTTTGGGTGGTAGGGGTGGCCTCTGTGAGGAGAGGCCAGGGACTCCCCCATTCCAGACACAGCTGGATCCAGCCAGCTCCAAGGGACCCACCCCAGGACATGGCTGAGGCCCTCAGGCGAGATGGTGGCACCACATGGAAAACAGATTTAAGAAAGGGCAAAACACTGCACAGGCAGAGGAGGTAAGGAAAAAGAAATTTCTGAGAAATTGCAGTGTGAACACCATGGTCAAAGAAGGAGGGGAAGAGGTGCTACAGGCACTGGAAATGGTTATTTCCCTGCAGCCCATGGAGGCACCATGCTGCAGCAGTTCTTGAAGGACTGCAGCCCACCAAGAGGCCCTGTGCTAGAGAAGGGGGAAGTGTGAGGAGGGAGGAGTGGTACAAAGGAGCTGTTATGGATTGACTGCAAACCCCATTCTCCATCTCCCTGCACTGGTCAGGGAGGTGGAGGAGATAGACAAGTCAGAATGAAGGAAAGAAGCTGAGCATGGAAAGGTGGTGTCAGGGGGTGATAGTGCGTTTTTTGTTTATTTGTCATTACTCAAATCTGTTTGAATTGGCAACAAATTAAATCAATTTTCCCCAAGTGAAGTCTGTTTTGCACATGACATTAACTGGTAAGCAATCTCCCTTGACCCACGTGCTTTCTCATTCTATCTTCTCCCCCTGCGCTGTTGAGGAGGCAGAGTGAGTTCAGCCCTTAGCCAAGGTTAACCACCACAAAGATACACTGTAAAAACAGCCTGAGGTTTTAATGTGAAAGCAGCACAGCTCATAACTTCAACTTCTAACTTTAAGCTTCTGCTTTATCTAGAGTACAAGAAACTGCATGGCTGGTGAGCAAGCGGCTTTTTTGCTATAACAAGGGTCTAGCTCCCTTTCTGGATTTTAAAGACTCATATGTACTAACAGATCATTTCCAGAGACCACAGATAAATCAGCTGTCACAAAGCAGTTACCAGACATGTGAGATTCATGCCTCCCATCTGAACGAAACTCAGCTAGCTCCTGTCTTCTGCTCCAGTGCTGCTGTGCCTGGATTTTACTGCTTCCTAGCACAGCTATTGATTTATCTATTGTTTCAAAACCCTAAATGCCAGAGACAGCTTACCTGCTGCCTGACAAGCACTGCAAAGCTGGAGAGAAGTTGCAGAGCTCTGCACCTGCAAGCATTCAGGTTCCCATGCATGAAGTCACACTTGGTTTTGCAGATGCCCCGCCTCTTCACATGATCAAAACACTCTCTGTTACTGGGGATGGGAGATACTGACCCATCACATGCCTCATGCATATTATGTTAAAGAAGGAATGGGAAGTGCAAAATTGGGACATCTAGGATGTAGATATGTATACCCCACATCTTACCTCCAAATCAAGATGGTATTTACTGCCTACAGCTTCTTCAAGACAGGATTTCAAAATTTTCTAAAAAAATTTATTTAAACACCACTCCAAATGAATCTTGTTGCAGACAACTTTGTTCAAAAGATCATGTAGCAGCCTGGAGAATATTAAGCGACATACCTAGGTAATAAAGATTACTCTTATCAGCCCGTAAGTTGAGTACCTTTCAGCACTGCTGCTAGAATCCAAAGGTGGAGGAAGAAGGCAATCAAGTTGTTCTCCTTCCTTTACCACAGGTTCATGTATTAAAAAAATTAAATCTTTAAAAGTTACTTATGCATTCAAACATTTTGTAAAGTAAGATTCCACACAAGGCATGTAACGTATTTTCTCCTCAATTCCTCATTTCCATCTCTCAGACACCTAAAATAGAGCCTGCCAGGAGCCAGAACTCTCAAAAGTCAACTAGATAAAGGCATCCTTCTTGTAATCATGGTAATGTCAATAGCAATAGGCTATTGTTAATCACAGTAAGCGATTTCATTTAGTGTGACAAATACTTTTTAACCTCAACTTGCCAAGGTTTTTGATTGAATTCAGCCCAGCTGAATGCAAGAGAATGCACAAGCTAACATGGAACAATCAGCAATAAAGACAAGGAAAATCTGTAGCCACATGTGCATACCATAAACCTGTGCAACAGATAGAGAAAGTGCCTATGTATCTCATTATTTCCTCTCACAGACTAAGTCAAATGGGTGGTTAAATAAGATCATTCTCCTTTAAATTAAACTCAGTGCAATGTTTTAAACCCACAAACTTCACAGAAAATACCAATTACATTAATATCAAACCACATTTCAGAGAAAGTAGACATAAGGTTATCCATTAATTGTAGAGTTTAAGCAGGTATTTTATTAACACAAAGTAGTTGTGTTCATACACTCATACGACAGAAAGATGCATATCCATGTGGAAAATACAGTCTGGAGGATCAGGGTTTGCCCTACCTTGAAATTAAAAGCAAAGAAATAAAAAAATCTGCCAAGTATTCTTTCTTGTAGGGTTGGAAGCTGTCATTTTCTCCATGGAGGACAAAAGTCTGACTCACTAAAATAAACTGAGGTTCAACCACTGCATAAATTTTCTGCTTAAAATTCAGAAACATTCCAATTTAGAAATATTTATATATTCATCATTATACACAGACATTCTTAGAAAGTTGATGTTTTTAAAAAGTGTATGGACTTCTGAGATATCTCAGTTTCTGGGCAAGTATTTGGACCATTAACAGTCACAGTATAGACTGACTGTTTAGAAACAGGATGACTGTCTATAGGAAGATCTACAGGGCTGGGATGAACAGCATTAGTACCATGCAAGGTGTGGCAGATTTGGCAAATCCTGTTTCACACAGAGAAAATAAATTTCATACAGTTTTTAGAAGACAAAACCTCCACATTCCAAATTGTGAGCTCTAAAAATTTCAGTGTATTGAATCCTGCAGCCTGTTATTTCATTACAGATCCTATGAAAAATGTAAAGTGGTAGATTCAAAATTTTAATGTGATTAACAACGTATGCCGTAAGATAGAACTTCAACTCAGACTATAGACCTTGCCATCTGTAAAGACGACAAAAGACCAAGAAAATCTCATGTAAACTTAACTTTTTGGCCCCTATAACAAAAACCACACCTCTGCCTTCCAAACTGATCTCTATCAGAAAAAGGATATGGTCCTCATTAAAGTCCCATATATGAGAAAAAAAAAAAATAATCACTTGCCTTCTCCTCACTCTTAAAGAATAAAGTTAATATCAACATTAAGTAACTCTCCAGGAACTCTTCCAAAATCTTTGTTTTCTTCACCAAGATTATGTAAAATGCCCCTACATTACAAACACTTTTTGGAACTGAGATGCATTGCCCTTTCGGCTAAATTTAGGAAAGAGACAGCTATACATCCAGTTTAAGTATTACTACTGAAAGAGCTCAGCTGACAGTATTACAGCAATTTCTGCAGTGGGTAGCTGTCCTTTGTCCTCCCATTAGCCAAACACAGACGTGCAGCCTGGCAAATGTACTTCAACTAGCTTTCAGAGCAAGTCCCTACTCTTACATTGCCACTATCACATTGACAGCATATATTGCTTACATATGTGTATGTATATGGCTATATTAAGGTAAGGCTACACAAAAGAAAAAGGTGGGAATGAACTTACCACAGCAAGCCACTAATTCTGCAGCAACAATGCAAGCTCATCAAAAGCACAGCAAGAGTCCTCCAGCACAGCCGTGTTATATGTACTTTTTTTTTTACATGTTTCCTCCTTTCTGCACTGTAAGTTTCCTGCTAGCTTACTGTTGCAAAGAAGAGCACACCCCAATAGGTTGAGGACATGGCCGCAGCCCATGCTTAAGCCAGGCACACAAGACCACGTGTGGCTGGTACTTGTCTGCTCCCACGATGAACTACTTCAGTGACAAAAACCAGGAAGATTATTAATTCCTCTCCTCAGCCCCTTCCACAAGTCAGCAGCTCAGGAGGATCAGACAAGCTGGTTGAATAGGATACCAGTGCTGGTGTTAATGAAGCAAGGTGAGACAACAGCTGGGCTTTAAACAAGTCAGTTTAAACAGCCATATAATCACACTCTGAATTCACCAGTATGTAAAGCATGACATAAACACTTTTGCTGTTTCCTCAAAGATTTAGCTTGATTATATTTATGCAGAGCAGAGGTCTAGCTAATCTCACAGCCTGTCTTTCATGTGGTCGACAGTGACAGTAACAGGCCATGTAAAAGTAGGATGTTACACATGCTTGTTCACAAATTCTAAAGGGTTTTGAAAAACGTTTGGGTGGATTGAAGTACCTGGTTCTGGATAAGCATTAGAAACATCGCCAAGAGAAAACAGTTTCACAGTTTAATACCAAGGTACAAATGATATGGGAATTACAGAATAGGTTGTACTAAGAAACATGTCAAGGAAGGTAATTGTCCCACTCTACACTGCGCTTTCTCTGTGAAAGGAAAACTGTAGCATCGGTGTGGGCAGCTACTTAACACACAGCATTAAACCTGGAGAAGACAAAATTACCTTTCTTAATTTTGCTTTCTTCTGGTTTACACTGTAACTAGGAGGTCTCCTGCACCACCACTAATAAGCCATTCCATAAAAGTTTTAGCTCATCATAG